AAAATTAGGAGAAGATGAGATTTTGCACTTTTATGAGTTGAAGTTTATCTATTTGCAAATATACTTATGTAATATATTTATATACATAATAAAAAAGATGAAGGACGTGATTAGTGTCTTCTGTTGTCTAATAAAAATTCATAAGAGATCTTGCTATGCAGTTTGGATTATCAAGGCTGCGTTGCTGAGACAACTTTCCCATTAAAACTAAAACAGCAGCAGACTGGGTGTCCGGGGAAATTCGACTGTGAGATTTTGGAAATTTTACCTTTCTAAAATGCTATTTTCATAGCTTTAAAATGAGAGGATCGAAATCAAAATGGTCCTTAATAACTTCTTCTCTTTTTTTCCCTCTTGGTCCTCTTCTCTTTCTTCTTTATTTTGCCATTGAATTCTGTGAGAGCTATTAAAATGGAAGGCATCCACGTGTAACTGGAGGAACAGAATTCCTCCAACTCATTCCCAGGGGCATTGCATGTACAGAGCTCCTAAATGCATATTCTTTCCCCTCAACTCACTGAGTGTGAATATGCCTAGAAATGTTATTTGGCCCAAAGTGGTAAAATCTGCTAACTGCAACGTTTCTGCCAGTTCCTTGATAGGTGGATGGATTTGAAACAGGAGCTCAATTTTTTTTTAAAGATTTTATTTATTTCTTTGAGAGAGAGAGAGAAAGAGAGAGCCACAAGTGAGGTGAGGGGCAGAGAGAGAAGCAGACTCCCTGATGAGCAGGGAGCCTGATGTGGGACTCCATCCCAGGACCCTGAGATCATGACCTGAGCCAAAGGCAGACGCTTAACTGACTGAGCCTCCCAGGCGCCCCAGGAGCTCACTTCTTTTTCAGACTTATCCCTGGACACAGCTTAAAACCAGATGATGACCAAAATGATGAACAAATGGATCCAGCTAACACCTTTGCTCATATTGTTAAGGGGTATTCCTTTCATAGGCAGGGGTTTGCACGGATTCTGCTGCATATAGGGGAGATGTTTCTTTTTTAATATATGGAACTAGGTTATCCTGTTTCCAAGAATAAATATAGGTCTTTGAGAGGTGTTTTGCCCGCATGTGCATTTGATTCATTGACTGGTACAGCTTCTTCTTTTCTGGATCTCACACTGTGGGGAGATTTCAAAGGGGTTCACACTCTCAGAGCCAAAGTCCCTCTGAACCATCTTGTTAAAGCTCCAACAATGGGTTAAGCTACACTGAATAAATCAGTCTTCAGAAATGCATTGCGGGGGATTTTGTATCCCACAAATTGTCTCATGGGGAAAGGAGATGATGAGTTCTGGTGCAACTTAATATCTGTCTCCGAATCTCCATACAGTTCTAGTGGCAGACAATTTGACCTTAGTCATTTCTGTATGTTTCCTTTCCAAATCCCATAATCTCAGATTTGTGAAGTGCTATCATACCCAGAGTATATAGGGGGAGGAGCCTATGTGGTGTCTGCTCCTTTGTCCACTCCAGTGATTGCTGAGAACCCACCATCCTTTACCATGTGGTCCCTTCAGATCTTCCCTGATTCCATGCCTTGGTTCCAGGAAATAAAATATTTTGATAAATTGCCATTGCTCCCATTTTCCTCAGTGGGACTTGGCACCTTCCCTGCAGCACTATGAGAAACCAGGCCTTAGGTCATCCTGCCCCAGGACACATAAAGTTCCCTCACCTGGGCTCTCTCCCACTCCCTTTTTCTCTTTTTCTTTTGCTTCCCTCTCTTTCTCTTCTCTTACCCCCTTTCTCTTCCCCTGCTCCCTAGGCCAGGGGAGTCTGCTGGGATTGAACAGACTAGAACACACTGGATAGCTTCACACAAATATTTAACAGACATCTCACACTTCACATGTACAAATCAAGGCTTCTGAGTTTAGTTCCTCAAACTGCTACTTCTTCAATGTTCCCCATCTCAGACAATGACACTTCCTCACGTTCAGAAGGCAAAAACTTGGAATCATGTGTGATTCTTTGTCCTCATTCTCCTTATGCCAAGTCTTCACCTATTTGACTCTTGAATCCAATCCTTACATTTTCCCTTGTTTTCTTTTGTATCATGGAGGGACTGACTCCAGCAGGCTGTACTTCCCAGGGTCCCCTGGCAGCCAGCTGTCAGCTGGACTTACCTGAGAGGCATCGCAGTGGATTGTAGAGCAGGAACAGAGAGAGAAGACAGGGTATTTCGCCCTTCCCTGTGAGTAGGCCTCAGTAATGGCTGCTCCAGCCACCCCATGGAAAGACCCTCTACATTCCAGTCTCTGCTAGATGGCCCTGGCTTCTGGACTATAATAACATCACTTCCTCACTTCATCCCTCCAACAAAGAGACAATAGTGGCTTTCTGCTGTACTAACTTCTGGGATGTTTCGTCACCCTATGTTGGCTTCTTGGCTCTTCCATCACTTGTGTAAATAATTCCTCCTTAAATTTCCTTCCTTGCATTTTATTGGCCAGAGTTATTGGCTCTTTTATTGGCTGAAGCATGGCAAGGGGAATGGAATGAAACAATTTGCTTACACTAGTCCCCTTTCATCTCCTGGGACTGGGGAATGGCAGAAATGGAAAGCGTGGGACCTATGTACGGTTGAAGCCTCTACAAGGTTCCAGGTGAGTGTAGCCACATGAAAACAGCAGCCCGGGGTAGCTAGATCTTCCAGTTTTCAAGAGAAGTCAGAAATTCAGATTTTATGTGAAATATGTCTAATTATTAAATGTCATCCCAGGTTTTAAAAAATCCTGTATGAGCCCAGTAAAATGTATCTGTGGACCAAATTTAATTCTGGGGTCTCTGGTTTGAGATTTGGTTTAGGAAGCAGGAAAGTAACTCCCAGTCAAAAACCTCCTCTGGGGCAAAGAAGAATGGAATCAGTTAGCAGGTTGAACAAAGGTAAGGAAAAGGGGAAAATAAAGGCTAAAAAAAAAGTCAGACTGGTCTCAATATTATCCTGCCGCAGGGTTTCTCTGAGTGATAGTCTATGTGAACTTTCAGCTACATCAAGGTGCTAAGATTGGTTTTAAAAGGAGCTAGAAGAGGGTAGTTTTATTTGGGTTTTATGGGTAAAATAAGAAAAAATGGTGTCTTGAGGAAGAGGATAGATGGGAGTAGAGGGACTCCTTCCTTATAAAACCTATCATGCTATCTTTAAGAAAAGGAACACCATGTAAGGAGAAGCAAAAACCCATTAGAGACAACCTATCAAAGCTCTTAAAGCAAATAAGGCAAAGAGGGTAGGAATTGGGTTGACTTGGATGTATTTGCACACATAGACTAGAGTAGCTTATACTAGAAAACCAGTCAAATCACAAAATCGTTCAAACTTTACTTTTTTTTAACCAGTGGCTCTTTTGATTAATTAGGGAAGTCTTGATCTGTATCTTTAGGCACAAACTCTGTCTATTTGATAATATCATGCATGATTCTACTTTTGTGTGTTATCAAGCAGAACAAAACTAATCATCTGCTGGGGTTGTCAGTTCTCACGGGATGATCAGGCCTACTTCTCAAAACCAGAAGTTTCCATAATTCTAAATAATCATCAGATCTTTCAGATGATAAATGGAAGAAATTCAGCTCTGCCTATGCGACTGGCTCCTGAAATTGCTTTCTAGTTAAAATAGATGTCTAGAAGTGCATCCTTTTGATGGTGAAAAATGCCTGCATGCCAAACATACAATCCATTCCTAACCAATGAGATTTGGTTTAAATGATAGTTCAATAATAGAAACACTGACAATAGAATTTGAATATTGGAGGAGGGAATTTATATGAAAAAGAGTGAGGATGGTGGTGACAGGGACTTGGTGAGTAAGAACCAGCATAAAAACAAGGCATGGAGAGAAAATCAGAAAGAGAAGAATGACTTGGGGATAGAAGGTTGGAGGGAAGAAGAAAAAGAAAATTCCAAATTTAAAACGCAAAACAAAGAAAAGTAGAGAGGAAACTGTGGGAAAGGAAGATAAAAGGCAAGAGAAGCAGGATAGGAAGGGTTATAACAGTAGCAGGAAAATGTTTGACCCCAGATCTGGAAAGTCTCATAAATTTTGCAACAAGACATATATGGTTGAAGAAACTGGAGGTCACTCCACAGAATGTATAGTTGGCACAGAGTTGTTTTTCTTATGTTCTAATGCTGACTTCTGAGTTCTGCTGCCTCCTTTGCTTTGACTTCTGCTCTAGATAATAAACAGGTTGAGTTGGTGGGGGATTAAGATGCAGTCTTGGGTGCCTTAATTCCAATTTTCTAAGTGTAGCTTGGACAAAGGAGAAGACTTCTGCCAAGTAGGATCTCCATCTGTGTGGCAAAGGACTCTCTGAGGTGCCTTTGAAATAATACCTTTCATTGGGGAACACAGGCTCCTCACAGGACACTGAGGCCCTAGGGTCACTGGAACACAACCAAAACCTATTAATTACAATCATAAATGTCCATTTCTTAAAACCTTTCTCATTTTGTCCTGCTTTGCTAAAGAGCTTTTGATTATATTGCTTGACAGACCCCAAATGGTATTTTACTGCAATTTTTACCCTGCATCGGGCAGACAGCAGCCCACATAAACATAAATATACACTAATAATCTGCTCAGTGGCTAGAGAAAGCTTAAATACAAGGCAAGAAATTGCAAATAAAAATAAAAATACAGCATAAAAAACTTCTATAAATAAAAAACAAGTTTAAACAAGTTTAAAAGAAGACAACAAAGCTAGGGGAAATATATCATTAAATTTATACTTCCGAATTGCCAAAGTAATAAATGCTTATGATAAAAAATATATATCTATACATATATGGTTGTATATATACACACAAGCAATACAGAAATATCTACGGAAAAGTGAGAGTGACTTTCTCTCTGCCACCATGACCCACTTCTCACCCTGTTAACAGGTTGTGAACAATTCTGTGCATGTATGCCCCAAGGATCTCCACCAGCCCCACACCGCTCTCCCATCACTGGAGGGTGACCTCTCACCAGCGAATGTAGGGAAAGGGGGATACTCACGAATGAAGGTTTTCTGAGAGAAATATCTAGTCAGCAGAATATCTTAATGCCTGTGCTTCTCCTTGGGTCACATTCATGTTGCTACAGATCACCCTCTGAAGCCCTTAGATAACCTTCGGCAGGATGCTATTTGCTCCTTTATATGAGCCACAGAAGGACTGACATGGAGTTGGCTGCATTTCCCTTTGCTGCCCCATCTCCTTGTCCTCCACAGCACCCCCGGGGGCGGGGTGGGTGTAGATTTTACTCAAGTGGAGAAGCTAAAAGGGAAGCAGAATGCTGTGTGCTAAATATAACTCATCCTAGGTTTAGGGAAAACAGAAACCAAGGAGTTGAAACCTTCAAAGGGACTCTATCCATGGGCAAAAACTCAGTCTCCCTTAGCTTCATATTTTGAATCTCTTGAAAACTCCTTCTAACTTCCACCATGGATTTTTTTTTTTTTTAGGAAAACACAAACTGTTACCCTTATGATGGTCTTACAATTGAGTTATTCCCAGGAGGCCTTAGCAGGACAGTCAGTGATAGCTGTTGATACAGAAGTCCTACACAACAAACCAGGTGGATAAGATTAGGTGGAGGCTCTGAATTTAGCCCCGTTCGGAATTTTCCTTACCCACATGACTCAGACACCTGTTTATTCTCGTGAACGTATACTAAATATCTATTTGGGAGAAACAGAAATATAATCTTAACTGCCTCACAATTTGTGAAGTGTATATTTCTCTTTGGAGTTAGTATTTCACATTATTTTGCAGAACAGAATCAATTGCTTTTTTCCGTTCTTAAACCCCCTCATTCTCAAGAGTTTCCTTGAACAGCAACGTCCCTTTTAATGGCTATACCCTTAGCTAACCAATTTAAAAATTAATCTGGCTTATAATAACTCAGTTAAGTTCTTTTTTCTTTTTTTTTTTAAGATTTTATTTATTTATTTGACAGAGAGAGAGAGTTAGCAAGAGAGGGAATACAAGCAGGGGGAATGGGAGAGGGAGAAGCAGGCTTCCCGCCAAGCGGGGAGCCCGATGCGGGGCTCCATCCCAGGACTCTGGGATCATGACCTGAGCCGAAGGCAGACGCTTAACGACTGAGCCACCCAGGCGCCCCAAGTTCTTTTTTCTTTCTTTCTCTCTCTCTCTCTCTCTTTTTTTTTTTTTTTTTTTTTTTAGAGAGAGAGAGCAAGATTGAGAGCAGAGAATCCCAGACAGGCTCCATGTCCAGCACGAAGCCTGATGAGGGGCTCCATCTCACGACCCTGAATTCATGACCTAAGCCGAAATCAAGAGTCAGATGCTCAAATTCAAATTCTTAATTAAGAATTTAACTAAGGGGTGCCTGGGTGGCTCAGCTGGTTAAGTGTCTGCCTTCAGCTCCGGTCATGGTCTTGGGGTCCTGGGATCGAGCCCACGTCCGGCTCTCTGCTCAGCGGAGAGTCTTCTTCTCCCTCTCCCTCTGCCCCTCTCCCCACCCCCGCTTGTGCTCTCTCTCTCCCTCTCAAATAAATAAATAAAATCTTTTTAAAAAATGAATTTTGCATTTGAGAGGTATAAAGACTAACTTTATTTGTCCAATAACTACGACAGGCACTAATATATAGTGTTCCATTTTACTAAAGGGAATAATACTGTACACAGTTTAAAATTTGTTGGGAAATATATTTGTAGAAAAAATATAAAAGTGTTAATATCCTTAATAAAAAGAGTTCTTATAAAATCCATAAGAAAAAAAAGTTTGTAATAGCTAAATGGGCAAAAGACCAATACTATTTATAAAGATACATAAATCATAAAATAAGAGTGTTTCTTTCTGTAAATATATAAATCAAAGTACAGTAGCAATAGGACATTATTGCTGTCCATAACATTTACAAAAAAAGTATTTGAATGATAGTTCTGGTAACAATGTGATTAGATGAGTCCACTCATCTAATCTTAGTAGAATTACAATTTAGTAGAGCTGATCTGAAAAACAGTTTGGCAATACGTATCAAGACCCTTTCTCCTAGCACTTCTAATTTATTAATCTCTTCTAAATAAATAAGAACTTTTGATAAAAAGTTTTATGCATAAAATATTTCTTTCAATGTTAATCAAAATATCTATAATTTAGAAACAACCTAAGTGTCAAATATTAGGGGACAATACAAGTATATTACGGTACACATATGCCACAGAATATTATGTAACTTTTAAAAATGTTTACACAAAATGAGTGAAAGGGAGAGGGAGATACAGGCTGCCAGTTATGGAATAAATAAGTCACAGGAATAAAAGATACAGCGCAGGGAATAAGGTCAATGATATTGTAATAGCATTGTATGGTGACAGTTGGTAGCTACATGGTGGTGGACGTAGCATCATGTATAAACTTGTCAAATCACTAAGTCATACACCTGAAAACAATGTAATATTGTGTGTCAACTACACTCAAAAAAATTTTTTTAACGTTTCTGGAACTTCTTTTTACTAACATAGGAAAAGACATATGATATAATGTTTAATGAAAACTCAGGTTATAAAATTATTTTAACATCAACATAATACTATATGGATTAATAATTGAATAAATAATAGCTAATTCTAGTTATTTGGTGGTTGACAATTTAACACATACTTCATCCTTTGTTATTTTTTTCCAGAATTTTCCATAATGACTCTTATCATTAGAAAAATAACCCTTTGTATTTAAAAATCACGAACAGAGTTAACATGGTAGCTGTAGATAACATATCAGTGATAGAAAAAAAGGGGAAATAGGATCTGACCCAAAGGCTTTCTGACTCAAGCCAGAAAGTTTTCAAGACACAGTCACATAAGTTTCAAATGCTGCTGATCCATTGAAATATCCATCCATATTACTTTATAATTTACTTAGAAAAGAATATTTTTCCCCAAAAGTTACAGTGGACTAGGCACTTACATTTAGAACACTATTACAAAAAAAAAAAACAAAACCCGCTAGTGCTTATCCTTATAATATTAATTAACACTGATGTGTATATTAACAAGCACATAGACAAGAAGTAATTCACACTCTCAGGAACTGTTTAGATTCAATATAAAACTATGTAAATGAAATAAAATATATCCTTTAAGAAGGGGCCATATAATTATTTAGATTTAGATAAATTGATTACAGATTCCTGTGGGAAGCTTTCACACTGGGTGAATGAGATGGCCCTATTTAAGAAAATCTAGATGTCTTATAATAAAACCACTGCTTAGGCAGTTAATCTAGTAATGCTCAGTGGGCAGACTTCAGGATGAATTCAGCATTTCTGAAAACAGGAAGTTCAGTGTGAACTGAGGAAGCAAAAAATCCCTATATCCTTTTATTTGGGCAAAAAGCCAAATAAGTTCATGGAAGTTCCACTTGACATTAGCATTCTCTACAGTAAACAAAAAGTTATTCACATAGTTATTCCTCGGGCTAAATAGGATTGTTCTTCGAGATGTTTCCCAATACCGTTTAGTGGTTGAGAATGTAAAATGTAATAAAACCCTATTGGGCAAAAGTGAAGATAATTGAAAGCTCTTTTGTATTCTATTTTCTCATCTGAAATGGTCAGTAGATAATTAAACCAAAAATGGGAGAACTATTTGTAATATAGTCACCTAATCAACAAATCTTTATTGAGCACTTGTTTTAGGCCCTGGAGATACAACAGTAACACAAGACAACACTCCTGTTCTCAAGGAGTGGTGATCTAGTGTCAGAGCGCATAAGTAAATAAAGACATACTGTAATTTCAAGGAGTAGTAAGTACTGTGAAGAACAGATAAAGCAGGATAAAAGTTAGAGTCACAGTACATGGTTTCGTTAAGACCCATTGTAGATAGAGAGCATTGGAAAGGCCTCTCAGAGGAGGTCCAATTTAAGCAGAATTCAGAAGGAAGTGAGAACAAACCACACCATGATCCAAAGGAAGAGTATTCCAGGTAGAGAGGAGAAGAAGTGCAAAGATCCAAGGTGGAAACAAGCTTGACACACTTTCAGATGAGTAAGAATGGTTGAAAGAGAGTGATCAGGGGAAGAAGAGATGGGTAAGCCCCTATATTTCTCTAACTTCAACCACCGTTTTGTGCCAGTGACTTGCAGCTTGATGTCTTGAGCTCTGGTTTCTTTCCCAACTCTCCTCCATATATTCACTTAGGTAATGGATATCTTTATTTACATAATCCCTGTAATGAAATTCTGTGTAATTCCTATTTTAGTGACTTGTCGCAATCTTTCCTTTGTCAAGCCTAAATCTGAGAACCTTGGAATTTTCCTTTAACTTTTCTCTCATTTTTCACATTGAATCTATCACTATCTTCTATCAAATCTTCTTTCTAAAGTTTCTTATATCCATCCCTCTGGCTCTCTCTGATAGTATACTGAACTAACTTCTGAATTGTATACTGAAATTACTTCTTAACTGGAATATCTGCTTTCGGTCTTTTCTAAGATTCAGTCTTACCGAATCACTTTTAATACCCCAAATGTGCCGTCCAAATAGACTTAAACAGAGATCCTTGCTCCCGATTCCTTCATAGACCAGATACATTTCTCACGGGAGTTGCATATTGGATGAGAAGACCCTGCCTCTCTGTTTTAGGGTAGTAGTAAGGGAAGGATGAAGCTGGATTGATTAGATTCCTTCCTAGGAATTTTCAAACTACCAGTAAAGGAAGAGAGTGTCTCTCCTCTCAGGTCAGAAAACAATAAGCCCCTGAGTCCAGAGTTTCTATCACTAGGCCTCATATCTCATGGAGAATCTCATCTGAGAGCAGAAATTTGGCCCATAAAAAGAAGCAGAGATGAAAGATGGGAAAAAGTGTCCTGAGTTCGTGGTTCCAATGATCTAGCCCTAATCTTCCCAAGGTTTAGTTAATGTTAGTTCAAATAATTCCTCTTTTATCAGGTTGAATTAGCTTTCTAGTATCTGTAACCAGAGTCCTCACTATTGTAGCCTTGCTTTTACCCAACCATTTCTTTTAACTTGGCCTTCTGCTTGGAGGGTTCTTCCTAGTCTCTTTCATTTGGTAACATTTAGCCATCTTTCAAGAGCCAA